CTCTCAGCTGTTTCCACCCACACCACATCCACTGGTTTTATTTAAAATCTGTTCTATATTTTAAGTTGGCATAGTTAGTGAATGTGTAGCAGCATCTACTGTTATGTTTAGTTTTTTGGCATTTACTTAGTTTAGATCAATCAATTATTTCATTTGATTTTACTAATATAGATAAAATAAATACCAAGAAATATTTTTATGAATATTACTCACAGTTACTTTAAATTTGTCATATTTTCCCTGAAAGGAAGAAGGCAGTAATTGTATAAACTTTCATATCCTTAAAAAAATCTCATTTATTAAATAAATATAAATACTCTTAACATTTTTATATGATGTTGTTTATAATTCATTTGCTCACTGATCAATTTAACTCTTTGCTATGGTCTCTAGAGCCAAAGTGATGGTTCCTGTAGAAGTTGTATTATTTACTTGTCTTTTTGCTATGAGTGAAATATCTGAAAGAAACAACTGAAGGGATCAATAGTTGATTTGGTTTTTGGTTTAGGAAGGTAGAGTTGATCATGGCTGAGGTGGGCTGGGGTGGCCCCTTGCCAGTGGGAGCATGTGACAGGACCACAAAGCAGAGAACTAGTTGAGAAGCAGGCCCAGTTTAGAAGTATAAAAGCCTCCCCTCCAGGAACCCACTTGTGTTAGCCAGCCTCTACTTTCTGAAGGCTGTACACCAACCCCAAACCATCTGCTCCTGTAGAATACTATTGTAAGGTGTGTTACTTTTGTTTATGTTGTTTGTTTAATTCTGTGAAGCTGTGTCACTGTGCCTGTCTAAAATACGCGATGGTCTAATAAAGAACTGAATGGCCAATATCAAGGCAGGAGAAAGGATAAGCGGAGCTGGCAGTCAGAGAGAATATATAGAATGAGAAATCTGGTAGGAGAAAAAGGAAAGAGCCAGAGAAGAAGGAGGACATCAGGGGCGAGCCACTCAGCTACACAGCAAGCCACAAAGTAAGAAATAATGAAAGGTATACAGAAATAGAGAAAGGATGGCTGGGCGGTGGTGGCACACGCCTTTAATCCCAGCACTCGGGAGGCAGAGGGATCTCTGTGAGTTCGAGGCCAGCCTGGGCTGCCAAGTGAGAAGTGAGTCCCAGGAAAGGCGCAAAGCTACACAGAGAAACCCTGTCTCGAAAAACCAAAAAAAAAAAAAAAAAAAAAAAAAAAAAAAAAAGCTTCATGAAA